CCAAACCACATGGGATGAAAATGATGATAGAGATCACGATAAAAATGAAAGTCGAGATCAGGAAGTCGTTAACATGTACATCATGACAATCGTTTATGAGGTAAATTCTAATGAAAAATGTTCATATGATGATTTATCTACTTTTTAGGATGAGATTCTTGAGGAATTTGAAACAATTGCTCTAAATCACTCAATTCTAGAAAAGAAACACTTTTAATTGAAAAATAAAGTAAAGAAAATTTTAGAAACTTAAATGGATCTTGAAAAAGAAAAGTTTGATTATAATTCTTTGATTAAAAATAATTTCTATTTGAAAGAGAAATTGTAGATTTGACTAAGATAGCTTACAAGTTCACTCAAGGTACGAAAAAATTTTGATTTAATGCTTGATGAACATAAACGTGCTTTTGACAAAGTAGGAATTGTAGATAAACATTTCTTAAAACAAAAATCTCTTAAAATTTATTTGTTGAAGATCACTGGAATTTGGAAAGACGTATTATTTTATTTGATTTCTTGAATTTTAGATTCAAGAAATCAAAGAGAGATCGTAAAGAGTGGAGAGTGATTCGAATGATTTAATTTTGTCGTGCAGAAGCTTCAAGAAATCTTGACTTAAGGCTCAAAAAATCAATCAAACGAACACCAAAACCCCCTAAGCTTGACCCAAAAACTTACCTCCACTTTGGTTGCCACAAGTCCTCACAACCCCACGAAGGAGAAGGAAGGTGATAATATTAGCAAGAGTACGAAGAAGAAGAAGCAACAAGGGAGGAAATCTCTCCCAATTCCCCTCCCCCCTCCTCTCAACCCAGTTATCCCCTCTATCTCGTTTTTGGCTTTTTACCCTCACACTTTCTGAACAATGCGCGCACACAGATGAAATGTTTGAGAATGGGAAGGATATAAAGCCTCAATGTTAGGTCACTTCCAAATTGGTTTAAAGGAAAACTGGGCCAAGTCTTATTAAATGGGCCATAGACATATCACCACCAATTCAATTCAAAAAGGGCACAATACATAACCCTACGTAACCCTATATATAATTGAAATGAATTATCCCCAACCCACCTGAAAAAAAATTTCAAAAAACCACCCCCTACATCCGACAAAATTTCCAAAAATTAAAAATTGAAAATCACACCCCACCCCTAAAAAATTTCCAAAAATTAAAAACTCAAGATTACATCCCACCTCACAGAGCCATCATACCTTACCTCACCTCTACCCTACCACACCCATCAAGAAAATTTTCAACTAACTATATATAACCAAGTCACTGACATGTGTTATCCGTGATTAATTGTGATCAAATTTGAATTCAATGTGACTAACTGTGACTAAATTTATATTTAGTGTGGCTGTCTGTAACCAATTAATTTTAACTGTGTGGCATATGATCAAGTCACAATTAATCACAATTAACATAGAATTAATTACAATTTTTATAATAAACACATACTTGACCACATACAGTCACCACAAAACAAATCTTCACTCTTCGTAGAGCAATACCATAATCCACCACCAGTAACTACCACCTTCACCTCCAACTTTACTACATTCACTAACCTGTGCTATCTTTTACTAATTATGACCAACTTTATCTTCAATGTGACTATCTGCTACCATATCAATCTATTTGTGACTATATATAATCAAGTCACATACAATCACAACTAACATATATCTGATCATAGACAGACATAATGAAGATAAACTTAGTCATACTCAATTTTTGTCGCCACTACCACTTTGGCCCTACCACTATTCCCAACAACGTTAGCCAAATGTGCATCACCAATACTTTCAACAAATTCTAACTACCACCGTCGGCATCATCGCACCACTATCATGACATGAAAGATTCGCTGCTCGTTGCAAGCTATGGCGCACCTCCTTTGGAGCCTCCAAACACCGCCCAAGCTGTCAGAGTCCACCACTATATATTGACAATAAGTACAATATACATTCAAATACATAATTCTTGGTGGCTTAAATTAGAGTACAATCAATCATAATTGAAACGTTTTTTTGTTTCTTCCACTTTTTTCAAAATTGAACTTTTTGACTTCAAGCGCCAACAAAGTATCAACTCATTTGGAATGCTATGTTCCAAATAATGTTAGCGTTTGAACAATGGCAACGAGCATTGCTTTTTCATTAATGAATCAAAAGAGTTATTTAATTCATTTACAGATGTTAGTTCAATTCATTTTTCACTTAAATATTGTAAATAGATGAGTAAAAAGAGAACTCTTGTGGACTGGTGGTAGGTTTTCTTAGAAACGACGAGTTTTTATTTTGATATCAATCAGTAGAAAAGTGGTAAAAGTGTTAAAGTTTTTATAAATTCGGACCTTAATAAAATATGACGGATTAGATGAGCTTTTATATATATTGTTTTATTTGGAGGCATATGCAGGGGGAAGAAAGGAAATTCTAAGATTTACATTTAAAAAAAAAAATCCCTTTGTCAATATTTTAATCATCATTTTTATCCATCTGATATGAAATAATCTTTTTATTAATATTTTGCTCATAGCAAGAGAATGTATATTTAAATTTAAAGATTTTATAGTATGTTTGAAATTTTGATAGTACAAACAATCAATTAAAAAAGGAAAAAAAATATAATAAATATTCAATACTAATAATCAATAAAATAAACACAATTCGTTAAATATAAGATAAATTGACATAATCATTTTAGACCCATTCTATATACACAATTCGATAGGAAAAAAAAAATCTAAATTTAGGTTCTAGTTGGTTGAAAATTTGATTGGGAAGTAAAGATTTGTAATAGATGTGATAATCTGAAAAAAAAAATTATAGATTAATTTTTAAAAATTAGAAGAGTTAAGGATTTGATAAAAGGATTTGGGGGGGGGGGGGGGTAGGGAGAGGTTCAAATCTATTGTGATTTTGCCTCTATTTGATAGGGACTAAAATCAGATTTTTAATAGATTTGATAAAAGTTAAAATGTTATGGGTTTCATGAAATATTCTATTAAGGTTAATTGTTAAATTTGATTTATATTAAAATTTGGATTTTAATCCATACCAAACACGACTTAAAAAAAAAAAAAGGTCAAAAACAAGAAAGAAATTAATTCTCAAAAGTGACCACCCAGGAACCGTGTCCGTTACTTCATGTACGAGTGCGTGTGTAAATTAATAAATGCTTGTGTCCATTATAGAAATTTTAGGTTCAATTTTAAAATGGAAGAAAACTTTGGTAAATAGAGTGTCGCGAGCCTTTTTTTTAGTTGATTGATATATTTAATTGACAAGAGATTATACACTTAACATGCCACCACAGGATAATAACTCGTTAAAAAACATCAATCCTCGAATCTGAACCCTTGTTTGAGAGTTTGAGATGGATCAAATTACTTGTTTGAACTTGTTAGACGATGATAAAATATTTGGAATAGAGATTTCATCTGAAGTGGACAACCTTATATATAGGAGTAGCTGAGTTCTTTTATGTTAATTTATATTTTATATTTACTGATTTTAAACACAGAAGACTAGAAAGAGAGAGATTGAAGAGACCTTCCAAGCACCTCTACCTAAAATAAATTATACATCCGTAACTTAAGAACTCAAGAAAGTTGAATTACATGTGATGGACCTTCTAACATATACACTCCCACATGATGGTTTTAGCAAATATTCATTATTCTAAACAATAATGGATTGTTTTATAAGGTGCATTTAATAGTGTTTAACAAGATTAACGAATAGTATGGTTTGCCCATTTTTCTATCCAAATCTGCGTGATGCAACATACTAAAACATACCAATTACTCACTTGATACGCTGGTATTACGGCACCGTAGATAAACTCCTTGGAAAATTAGTTACAAACCTGATATGTCGATGTTGCACCACTGAAAATAAAATCCTTGGGGAAACTAGAGCATTTGACCTCAGTTTGGGATGGATCATTGGAATGAGCGGGATGAGATATTATAGTTAGTTGGGAGAGATGTGTGGCTCCTCTCGACCTTGCACTCTGTTTATCGACTATGGATTTCAAATTCTTGTACCATACTATTAACATAAAGCATAGATTAAGTATAATCTATTGGGAAAGGTGTCAAAACTTTTCTTTATTCTACTTAAAAGTAAAATGTGTACACATTTAAATCATTCTTTACTTCCTTCTCATTACATCTCAAGACATTTCTTAATTCTCCATAGTAAACCTCTTGAGTTAATTACGGTTTTTGTGTGTAGATATTTTTCTATATGGGTTACTATTAGTAAGAAAAATTCCTGTAGTCTGTAAAGGACAAAATAAAAAACTTAATTATGGAACAACTTTTTACCAATTTAATAGGCAGCACAAAGGGGTGCCAATCAAAGAGAAATTTTTGTTCCAATTTCTGAGACGTATTGGCATGGATACGTAATTATTGAATTAAACATGCATGAATAAAAAGCAATTTCACTCATTTAGTGGAGCAGTTTTCAAAATTAATATTCAAGCCCAAGTTTAAATATGACGATTTGGATCTTGAATTGTTTCAAGGATAAGTCATTGACTTCGATGAAGCCACACTATTGGGTTGATTGAAGGATGAGTTTCACAACAAGACGATAAACCTCACTGGATATAATTAACTCTTTGGACTTTAACTGTTGTTGTGAGATTTGTATTCAAACTGTGTAATCTTATTCCTCCTGTTTAGATTACGTTTGTAGTTTAAGATGATTTCAATCTCTGTAATCTTATTTTTTTAGATTTCACTAAAACAAAGACAGTCTTTTGCAACGTTCAAAAAACATTGCTGAAGACATTTTGGATGTATGTTGCAAACTTCAATGTTGCCGTAGAGCAGAAGGATACGACAACGTTTTAAAAAACGTTGCCGAAAGTGTCTTTCGGCAACGTTTAAACTTACAGCAATGTCGTGTAAAAAACGTTGCCGTAAGTGTTTTCCAACAGTTTTTTTTTTTTAAATGTAAACTGGCTCGCAAAATTGAAAATAATAAATTTTGGAACTGTATAAAATTTGATAATTTCATTACAAATTTTGAATGCATAATGTGAAGCATGACAATATTTTCTCATACACTTGAATACATAATGTAAAAAATGCAAGCATGCTATTGAAAAACATAACCAACTTCTCTTCATCTAATTTATATTGAAATTAATGATATTTCAGGATGCCCTTGTACCAAGCTTTAGTGTCATGTGCTGCTCCCCCCAACCCTCATTCCTCTCAACAATTGCAAGTACTTTTTTTATAAAATAATCCAGTAGTAAGCTAAAGAATTAGTGACAATCTCCAAAGAATTGCAAGTCCTGCATTTGTAGAGTATAATCTTCAAAGAATTTGCAAGCCAAAGTAAAAAAAAAGAAAAAAAAAAAGAAAAAAGAAAAACAAAAAAAAAGGAGGATTATCATTTCTTCTTTGAGAGGAATAAAGGTCTCTACAATTCTTTTGTCAAAGAATCTGCAAGTTCTTTACTAGTAAGAAGAAAAATATAAATGTCCATTTTCTATTTTCTTCTTGATAAGGTGTCCATACTTCGAGCATTTGATTTTGATCTAAAACTTCCTTAATCACATTTTTATTGTAGTATGCTTCCAAAGATTTACCTATTTTGTTTATTATTCTATTGTAAGTGCCAAATTCTAAAGTTCTCCCCCATTTATATCTGTAACCATAAAATTGTGGCTATGTATATAACCTTCCAAGTTCCATCTAATAGGTTTAATATTTCTTAGTATGTGCAATGCACTTCATATGCCATGTCCCTAACCACAAAATTGCCTGGTATTACTTCAATTAGTCAAACTATCATGATAGGATTCTAGTAAGAGGAATTCTCCTATAAATATTCTACACATTCGTCCTGGAAGATTCAAGCCCAGAGTCAATAGGATCCTCAGTTACAATATCGACTAGAGCAAATTTAATGTCAATACCTTCTTTTCCTTTAATTTCCGTCCCTGTATAAACTGGATTATCGTTTAAGTCCTCATCAGGAGATGCATTGTCGGCACTCACCTTCTGAATTGAATCATCCATAATAGGTTTTATAACTTGCTGAAAAGAATGGATCCCCACTTTCAAAATACAATTCTCCACAAAAGCGATTAAAGGCCTAAAAGTAGAAAACGGGTAAAGAAAATAGCAAAATTGCCATAAGGAACAATAAATAATCAAAATAAAATACCAAACATAATGCAATTTCAACAAGTATAGGTGGTGTTTGCATATTTTTATATTGAGAAAACTAATTACCTCCTCCACCTGCATACTGTAGTTGGCTTTGGTTTCTACACCTAGTATATAATACTGTAAAATACAACAAAAAAAAAAAAAAAAAAAAAAAAAAAGAAAGTTAGAAGCTGACC